CCCTTTAGAAAAAGGACCCCCCCCCCCAAAGGGACCCTAATTTAGAGAACTACCCATATCGACGTGGGGTTGCCTGCGAGGAGTCTGAGCTGAAGATGGTTGACCTCAGGCTCTGGCACACCGTGGAGGCCGTACTGGCACACTTCAGGGATTGCGCCGCGCTTCCATTGGTTCTGCAGGAGGAGGAGCAAGACATCTTCGGCCGAATGCATGGTGTGTGGTTGGCAAACACCGCCACTCGCGGCTCGGCTGCGTTCTTCTCAGCGGGCGTCTTGAAGCCGAAGCTGATCCAAGGCTCGAGCGGGGAAGAGAGCGCGGCCAAGCGAGCGAGGAAAATAGTCGCTTTGCCCGCCGAAGAACGTCCCACACCCAAACGCAGAAATCAAACATCCCCTGCGTGCCACGACCACAGCCATTACCTTCAAGTCCATCTCGTTGCAGACCTGACCCGACTCTGAACCGCACAACATCGCCTAGCAGGCGACACCCACACATAGACTGGACACATCAATTCTTTCCGAGACTTGGTCTCAGCTCCCCGGCACTTCGCCATGGAGGTGTCCGAAGGACCGGAAGAACCGGACGAAACGGAAGCAACAGAGGACACCGGCGAGCCATGCGAGCCCGGCCCTGCCCAAGGTGATCTGGACAGAGAGTTGCTTGGTGCACTCTTCAAGACAGTGCGCCAACGTTGCCTTGCCGCCAGAGCCAGCATTGCAGCGTCATCCGTGAAGCTGCAGACGTTGCAACGCGGACGTGTTGCCAAAGTCGAGATGATGAAGATGCGCGAGGCAGCAAAATGCTTTGAAACTGTGGCTCCCGCGCTCAAGAGCCTTGTGCTACGGATTCGCCTCGCAAGTTTCGAGGAGCAGAAAGCCGTTCGGCGGCTGCAAGAAGCTTGTCGGGTGGCAGTTTGCAAGCGGCGTGTTCATGGTCTTTGCATCCGGCGCCTGCAAGCTCTGCTTGTTGGACTGGAAAAGAAGGTCGAGGCCCAGCAATTGCTTTCTCGATTGCAGATGCGTCGTCGGATGCGAGAGCATCCTGAAAGTCTCTTGCGAGTAGCATTAAAGGCTGTGCAGCTGCGAAGGCAACTCGCAGAAAGAAGAGAACATGAAGCCGTGTCTTGTATCCAAGCACGTGCACGTGGTGGTTTCGAACGTGCACAGCAGAGGACCGAAAAGGAGCAAGTTGCCATGCAGACCGTGAGGGATGTTTGTCGGCGATTTGCTGCTCAGCAGAGCTTGCGTGCAGTCAGGCAGAGGCAGCTGCTGCGAGATTCATCTGATCTCTGGAGATCCGTGATTCAAACTTACAAGAAACGATCCCAATTGGCTTTCCACTTGCTCTACAGTCGGGCAAGTGCGAAAATAACTGCTATGTGGCGTGGGGCTTTGGGACGACGGGCTGCGCGGAAAGTTCGGTTTGAGAAATCGGCTCAGGGCGCCTGCAACACCCTCAGGAGCTTCCTTCGGTGCTACTGGGCACGAGAGACTCTCCTCGGTCGACGGCTGGACACAGACTATGCAGAGAACCAGAGGACCTTCTGCACGGCGCTGAGAACCCTCAAGATGCGGATGCGGTTTTGCCGTTCAGTCGACGAGGCCCGCAAGCGGGCTGCCATGGAGGTGCTCTCCAGGTACGTGAAAGGCATGTACATCCGCAGTGGTCGTGTTTTCGATTGGGAGAAGTATGCAAAGAGGACGGGTCGTCGAATTACCGACGACATACGCGAGCGTATGGCCTCTGACAAGGCAGAAGTGGAATGGGCAATCCGTGTTCGCAAGCACGTGCTCCGCGTGAGGGTTGAGCTCGAGGATGAGCGGCTGCAAGTGGCTAACATGGCCGCGCTGCAGTTGCAACGGAGTTGGAGAGCTCGGCAAGTGAGGCTCCAGCACTTCATGTCCAGGTTGGCCTTGCGGCTTGCTGCTGAGCGTCAGGCCCTACTGGCACTACAGCGATCGGAGGTGCAGGCGATGCACAGCATGAGCTCAGATTCTGTTCAAGGAGCTCTCCGGCCTTTTCATGTGCAAGTGATGTGCGCTCGGCCGTATCCTCCTCGGGACTGGGTCGCGTCCCTGTCTGAAGCCCCAGAGCCTGTGGTGGACGTGGACGCCGCCGACTCCTTCGCCATCCTTGCCGGCCGCAGTGGGACGGCTTATTGTTTGCCAAGCCACGCAAATGCCGAGCTGATTGGCTCGCCCGAGCCGCTAAAGCTGAAGGGGCCCTTTGTGCTGCAGCACCATCGCCTCCTTGCAGCAAGCCCCAGTGTCGTGCAGGCCCCCCCTTTTAGCATTCGGTCCGCTGGCCTTAGCGGCTTAGCGTTTTCTCATAGTGTGTTCATCACATCTTTTCCGTTTGTGTAGGCTGACCTTGCATGTCAGGCTCGGTTGTTCCCTGGCCCCTCAGCAGGTCTCGTGTGGTGCGCACCATGCGCTTCTGATGACAGGAGACGGCCTTTGCTTTGCGTGGGGCAAGAACGATTGTGGGCAATGTGGCATTGGATGGCCGCGCCCCGAACAGCTGGAGCAAAGGGTGGTGGCCGAAGCGACGTGCTTGCAGCCGTGGGCGGCGACGCATGGAGTTGCAACTTCGGAGATGCGTTCTGCTGGCCTCTTGGAGCCACAGCGCGGTGAGAGCCTCACAGCTGCTTGTGCTTCTGGTGCCGTCTTGCCTCGCCTGCGAAGTGTCTCAGCTGGACCCCAGACGAACCTTGCTCTGGATTGCGATGGACAAGCTTGGGCATGGGGGTCCAGAACAGGATTGGGCCTGAATCCCTGGATGCCGCTGGCACAGCCTCGTGCTGCTCCATCCAAGGGCACCGTGCGGCCGGGTGCAGATGGGAGTCGACATCCCACAGCCTGCCCCTTTCTGCTTTTCCAGGTCATTAAGGCCACTGAAACGGGAGCTTCAAGGAGTTCGAAGAGTGTAGAATTGCAGGAGTTGGACTTGAAGGAGTTGCCAGGCAACGTGCTTGTGCCGACTTTACTTTGCAACCTCACGCCGCTGGAAGGCGAAGGCTCTTCGCGCTCCGTGTCCTCGGCGCTGCCGGAAGCAGTGATCCTTCACTCAAAGGGGGGTAAGCCCCAAGCTATCTTGACTCCCGCAGCAGGAGCAGGAGCAGGTGGTGGTCGAAGTGAGAACTTCTTCGTCAGCGCGGTGGACACCGAGCATGCAAGTTTCGCAGTTACGGCCCGTGGCGTTGCATACAGCTGGGCCGCCCAGGGAGGAGATATCCTCGGACGTTCTGGTGCAAGCAATGCGCCGGCTGCAATCCCGACCTTCGTGCAGCTCTCCATCTGCGTGACATGTATCAGTGCAGCTGTAGACCACGCACTTGCCTTGACTGCACATGGGCGTGTTTTCACCTGGGGCACTCTTGAGGCTTCCGTGGGGACTGAGCGGTTCCAGCGGCGTTCGTTCACGCAGCCCATGTGTGTAGAAGGAGCGGTGCGAGGCTTCAAACGCACACACCGCTGG